ATTATTATTATTATTATTATTATTATTATTATTATTATTATTATTATTATTATTATTATTATTATTATTATTATTAGCAATATTGTTGTTTATTTCTTCGGGATTATAACTAATTCTTCGTGGAATTTTAAATCTAATATTACTATCTTGTAATGCTTCATCCGATTTAGGTGCTGGCCTCTTTAAGCTTATTCTGAATGAAGGCGGTGCCATGGCACTCAGGATTTCCGGTATAGGTTGCATCTGTATAATGTTATGCTCCATCAACCATTCCCTCGACCGATAATGAATGTGCAAAGCGACAATAGCATGATCATCAATAGCTTCCAATTGACATAAGATAGGCACCATTTCACGAGTCTCAAGGTCAAAGGGCTTAAATCCTATCTGCTCCGAAATACCTTCTTTTGTCCTATGAGCCTCTGTAATATTAGATGACTTTATTCGAAATGGTGGAATGTCAACCATCCTGGATACTTGTCTTGCACGATAAAAGTACACAGAGATTGTGCCCAATGCTCCTTGCACGTTATTGTGTGGTAAAACTCTAGAAGTGGCACGCATTTTCTTCCCGGGTATATGAGTTGGTGTGTAGATAGGTAGATTAGGGTCTGGAGGTGGTTCCAGCGGATATCGATACTTTCCGAATTGAAGAGCATATTTTACATCGCGTTCGTCATTCCAGAAATATTGTTTTATCTTCGATCCTTTATCAGTCAACGCAATATGAGTGAAATCGTTGATTCTGTCCACATATAAAAACGCCATTATTGGCTCTTCTTGAGTAGCACATGCTGCAGATAATCGAACCGTGAATTGAGTGCCAGGTGATGGTATAGCCACGTAATAATTTTGTGTGCTTTTCAAATTTATCAGAGACATTGGGAAAAAATATTAGTTACTGAGATAGCTTTTATTACTCATATGATATCGCAATACCTTTTCTCTAGTACACGATACTCGGGTTTTTTGTAATAGAACGAATTTCCGGTAGTAAGAACCTATTGTTCGAAGTGCCCATATTCGAGGAAACTAGTAAATCTCGGTGCTTTTACTGCTAAATACTTTAGAGCCAAGTATTCTAATAACTTACTGAGCTATTTTCTGCCGAGTACTCTGTCAATGGCTCTCCGTCTACTAATATCTCAACGCTAAAATCACTTAACAACATGCTTATGTTTCTTATAATTATAGCTTCCCTGCTCAAATAATGAAAATTAGTGTATGTATTGAATTCAGTCAAGGGTGTATGTAATTCCAAATTATAAAAATATCGTCAAAATCTAACAGCGGCCAACGTTAACTGATGAATCGGGATAATTTCATAAACCTGGTAGAGCATAATATAGGTCCAAGAATCTACATAGATATATCCAAGATGTTTAACGTTGAAGAAGATACGCATACGATATTACAAAAAGAACTTGATACTCTGGTCATCCAATTTTTTCAAATAAGTTTCAAGTTAAAGCTTTCCAGTCATTTATAAATGTATACCATTGCTTTAATTTAGACTAGAGAAGCAGAATGGCTATTGAATTCTCAAATCCCCAATGTGGTGTTGGACTTAAAAAGAGGACTAAAAGTAATGATCATATAAAAAAGAAATTCGAATTCTGGTTTCTTAATACTAAGATTTTTATTTTTATTTAAAATAGAAGTGTGAAGAACTATTGAGTTTCCAAGAGCATGGTCGGCAAAAATTGGTTCCTGACAAAATATAATATATCTCTTGTCAATTAAATCAAATCAATTTCTAGAGTTCTCGGGAAATTCCACTTTGGCAATATCTTCTAATAAGTTCAGTTTCTCTTTTTAGCAACTATCTATGCTACCTCATCTAACATTCACTGACTTCTAATTAATTAATTAATAAATAAATAAATAAATAGTAATGACGCACTCAAAGGATACATCACTTTAAATGGAAGCGAGATAATCAAAGGGGTATTTTGGAATGACATTAATGATGCTATTGTTAATATAATTTTTCAAAGATTGATTCAATTTCTTTGTTTAAAAAGGAACTACAAATAAAATTGCAGAATTATAATCGCGGAAATTCACTTAAAGTCTCCATTAATCCACTAAAACCTTTTTTCGTTGAACAGGTATTAATAAAAATTTTCAAGTACGATAATTCAAATATTGTTAATCTTTGCAAGAATACGATTTTAAATTATATAGATCGGTGATACACAAAACTACATTAAAATAGCATTGGACGCACTTGATTCCATTCTTGAGCCTTTTACAAAGATAAGCGCGATTGAGGTATTGAAGGAAAAAACTCCATTGACATTCTTGCCCTTTATTTTATTATTTTTTATTTAATATAATTGCGAAACAACGCAGATGTTAGAAACTGCGTTAAAGTACATCACAAACAGCAGGAATGCGCTGATAGACATAAGCGAAGGAAAGAACTTTCCATATAAAATATGTGATGCTCAAGTATGTGTTTTTTTTACTGTGTTTTCTTTACTTATTATATCGGATTCGATGCAGAAAATTGATTGAATATTCTATGTTTAGATGTTTGACTCTTCACTTCCCGAGGGTATTGCAATAGATTTCCACGTGAAAGGTTCCGAGATCGTTACTTCTGTATATGCTTTTCAGTTTCAAGCAGGGGCCACTACGACACCAACTACCACAAAACTTGTTCAACTTGGTGGGATATTGGGGACACATAAACAACCGCATAAATTGTGGTATTTATAATCTTTTATTTTTGTTTTAATAATTTTAAATTAGAATAATGAAATTATATTTTTTTTACTTTATAATTTTGTAGTAAATATAAAGATAAACTTACAACCATTCTAGATGAAATAACCGTGAGGTCGTTAGATCCGCGATTAGAAGAGGTGATGGAAAGTTTACAAAAGATTGAAAGGAAGTGTTTGGCGTGGAGGAATAAATTATCTTTATTTTAAGAAACAAATTTATTTTTTGGAATAATCTATTGATGATTTATTTATTAGTATATATTTAAGAATCCATTGTGACTTCCTTCTAAAAAAAACTAATACACCTCGCATTCCAGGATCTATTATTTTTCGCCCTTGCTAATACTACATATATTTGCTAAAATAAGTGATTCCAGGTTTTCTTGGTACTAATAGTAATTCTCAATACCGTGACCAAAAATGACTCATTAAACAATTTAATAGTAATGACATTATCGCGTTTAGAATTTTATTAAACTTGCGCGACGAAATAATGTTTTGGGAGAACCTAATTACTAATTCTAATAAAATTTATTATAAAAGAGTTTCTTTTTTAACACCCAATCGAGTAATAAGTTCTCGCACGTTTGCTTCAAAACCTATTCGAGATCTTTCCAAGCAATATGAACCTGTAAGTAGCAAGCTTTTAAGGAAAATATTCAATTGTAAGAAAATATGAAAATGATCGGTTTTTTATCGAGAAAATAGAATATCATCGAACAAGGATGGTATAATTGGTGGGAGACAAAAGGTATGCGTGTGATAATTAAAATTATGTAATAACAGAGACCGCTTAAAAAATATAAAAATCATAATTTTATTATTATAAGGATTTTTTGAAAAATCGAATGTACCTAATTCCGATGTATCGGATAACTTTGTCATGCTCACGCCTCCACCTAATGTGACCGGAAACTTACATATAGGACATGCATTGACATTTAGTATACAAGTATATATATATATTAGTAAAGTGATTACAGATAAGACTTTTTAATAAATGAGAAAATAAAATCGAATTTTTGTATAAATATATGAAAGGATGCCATTGTGCGATGGCGTCGTATGTCCGGATACCCTACATCTTGGATACCTGGGATTGATCATGCTGGTATAGGCACTCAATCGGTAGTTGAGCAAAAACTGTTTAAAGAGAATAAGGTACGAGTAAATATAAAGTCAATTCTATAAATTCGTAGAGATTAATAAGTTATAGTTATATAAAAAAAAATACGGATCGTACATATAGTTGACGCGTCATGATCTTGGTCGGGAAGCATTCATAGAGCAAGTTTGGACTTGGCGTAAGACTCATGGTGATCGTATCTTTGAACAACTGGTAAAACTTAAAAAAATAAATTATCCAAAAATACATATCAAATATAACTAACTAAATACTCATATATTTGTCATTAGAAAAGACTTGGCGCTTCACTGCATTGGAAAGGACTGTTCTTCACCATGGACGAGCCTAGATCTAAAGCAGTAACTAACGCGTTTATAAGACTCTTCGAAGACGGGATGGTGTATAGAGATACGCGTTTTGTTAATTGGTGTTGTGCGCTGGAAACAGTCATTTCTGATATTGAAGTAAAAGTCTTTTATTATTGATTATTATATAAATTTATGTCCAATAATTTTAATATCGTTTGTTGTTATCGCAAAGGTAGATTATCAAACTATCGATAAACGCACGTTTCTTAAGTTACCTCGACGCGATAAAGGGTAAAGCGATTATTATTATTATTTATCTATAAAAAATTCTATTAATCAATTTATGCTTAAATATCAATTTAGAGTTGAAGTCGGTGTACTTCATAAATTCGCTTATCCCATTGTGGATAACTCGGGAAATTACCAAGAGTTAATAGTTGCGACTACCAGAATAGAGACAATATTGGGAGATTCTGCAGTAGCTGTTCATCCTGAAGATCCACGATATCAAGTATTTGGCTTTTAATTTTAATTTTTTATTTTATTGCTTTTTAATACAACTGTCACATACTTTATAGTCGTTACATGGAAAAGAGATTATCCATCCTTTTTCAAAAAAACGACTACCTATAGTTTGTGATTCCATTTTAGTAGACAAGGAATTTGGTACAGGGGCTGTGAAGGTATTGATTAATACGGGATATTTTTACAAATTGCATATTTTCTGTAATTCTTATTCTCTGTAAAATACCATAACGTTTAGATCACACCTGGACATGATCCCAATGACTATAAATGTGCTCGTCGACATAATCTCCCTATAATCAATATCCTAAATAAGAACGGAACTTTTAATGAAAATTGCGGTGTCTCGGAATTCATAGTGGGTCTCAAGTTTCTTTTTATTATTTTTTTACTCGTCTAATCTTTCATTTCTCTTCAGAATAGAGATCGATTTGAAGTCCGTGAACAGATAATAAATAGACTTTCTGAATTAGGCCTTTACCGTGGTAAAAATAATCATTCGATGCGTGTCGCTTTGTGCTCAAGAACAGGCGACATAATCGAACCATTATTACAGCCACAATGGTAAGAATTATTCTTTTATACCTGAGACGAAACTGTTAATAGATGATAGTCGCGATATTGTTTAATTAATTAATAGGTATATTCGATGTAAAGAAATGGCAGATAAAGCTCTACGAGCTGCTGAACAGGGTGATATCGTTTTTAAGCCTGGTTATCACGTCGAGGAATGGAATCGATGGCTAGGTATTTAGTATATATGTTCTGTATTTTTTGTGGGCTGTTATGATTTATTATCATTAATTATATTTTAGAAAATATACAGGATTGGTGTATTTCGCGACAATTATGGTGGGGACATTCGATTCCCGTCTATCATATCACTTTTTCCAGTGATATTAAAAATATCGGTAATATTTCTACAACGGTGGCAATTCAATCCTTTTTGATTATATTCACTGATTCTGATAAAATTCTTTTCAATTAAATCACAGTCGGAAATGATATATGGATTGCCGCTAGTTCAAAAGCTGATGCTGAAAAACGTATTAAAAATTATATGCGTCAAAACAACATTCCCCTTGATACACAATATAGCTCGAAACAAGTAATTTTATTGACACATATCTCAGATGAGGTTTATAGTTTCGCAAAATTTACTGAAAATTTTTCGTATATATATAAAGGATGAAGATGTTTTAGATACTTGGTTTTCTTCTGCTTTACTTCCATTATCGGCATTGAATTGGACGGGAGATAACATTATTCCGGTAATAATAAAGTATCCTTTCAATTCTATTGAACCAAATATAGAGTAATAATATTCTTAATTGTTGCTGTTTAGGATAATTATCCAACCTCGATGATCGAGACCGGTTTTGATATCCTGTTCTTCTGGGTAGCTCGAATGACAATACTCTGTACATATTTCACTGGTAAACCCCCGTTCAATGTAATTCTTTTGCATGCAATGGTATGAGTCATTATTATTGTGAGGTGAGAGTGGCTTTTTAAGTTTTGTGTTGATTTCTCTATGTAATATTTACCTAAAACTCGTATTGCTTGCAGGTACGCGATTCTCAAGGTCGAAAAATGTCGAAATCTCTCGGGAATGTAATTGATCCTCTTAATGTGATTGATGGCATCACTCTTGAAAAAATGCAAAAAGCTTTATATGTGAATAATCTCGCAACTCATGAAATTGAGAGAAGTGCCGCGCTTTTGTCAAAAGAATATCCGAATGGGATAGAAGCAAATGGAGCTGACGCACTTCGATTTACTTTGGTCTCTTCGACACATCAAGTACATAATAACTCTTTTTATTTGAAGGTTTTATTTTTTGGTAAAATCAATAATCTTCTCTAGTTTTCTTTCAGACACGCCAAATCAATCTTGACCTGTCAAATATCGCTGCAAATAGGAGTTTCTGCAATAAAATATGGAATCTCTTTAAATTTTCTCTGCAACAATTCGAGCTGTTAAACCACAAAACAAGTGTCGAATCTATTGCGGCGTTTGATGTGTCCGATAATATGTTGTCTTTGGTGGATCGATATATTTTATCGAGGTTGGCTTATACCGTTTCCCGTTGTGAGCGTGGCTTTAATGACCATGAACTTTATGAAGCGACAGATGCTATTCGAAGATTTATTTGGGAGGATCTTTGTGATGTGTACCTCGAGTTCTCCAAACCTGTGCTTTATAATAATAGAATGGAGGTCAATGAACCGGTAGGTATAGAAGTAAGCATTTTTGATTATAAAGTTGTTGGACTACTAAAAAATGGTTTAATCTTAGCGCCAAAAAACTACACTTCGTGTTTTGGAAATTTGTCTTGACTCTTCGCTTCGTCTTTTGCATCCATTTATGCCCTTTATTTCTGAGGTAAATGATAGTTATCTAGAAATTCAATATTCATTTGCTTATGTTAAATCCTATATTTTGCATAGGAATTGTGGCAACATCTTTGTCGTATATTACAAATCAAATCTTATCCTGAAAGTATAATGCTTGCGAGATATCCAAAATCTAAAGATTATATTATCCTTAGAGACGAAAAGATTGAACAAGATATGCAGGTCAGTCTTCTTAACTTGGCTTAACTCAATTGAACCTAATGAATTCATAAAATTTTCAATATTGGTGGCAGACGGTTCTACAAGTAATCCATGCCTCTCGCTCGTTACGACAAAACAATCATGTGGTTCTTGGTCACAAACTACCCTTCGTTATATGGTCTGACAAGGATGATTTGATGAGCAGCCAAGGACCGATTTATAAGTACTTGGACGACATTAGTGCGTTTATCGGCGCCTCTTCGATTGCGATTATTGATGGACGGGTAAATTAAAGAACATTTTTTTAAAATACCAACAATATAATAATAATAATAATCTTAAATTCAATAGGATGGAAATGCCAATGAATCATTACTGAAAAATTCAGCAGCAAGCTCAATTACGCCAAATCTCAAAATACATTTACCAATGAAAGCCATTCTAGAATTTTGGAAAATAAGCGGAGGACCAACAATATCAGTATCGAAAGAGGAGCAAATAAAAAAGCTAATGCAAAAATTGGAGAAAATAAATAATGACATTGAAAGTCTCAACGAATTACAAAGAAAACCAGAATATGTTGAGAAAGCTCCAAACGTGGCTAAAGAAAAAGACAAGTAAAACATCTATTCCGTTTATTTAGACAAAAAATTTCATCGTGAATCACATTTGTATAACATAAATTAACTTAATTATTTCAATTTAACTTATTTAGGAAACGGATTGAAAAGTGGACCGAACAACGACGGGATTTGGAAAAGAATATTGAAATGATTAAATTAAAATAATACAAATAATAATTGATATTATATTAATAATAACTACCATTCATTGGTCTTGCTGTCTATTCCTTATTAAACAGGATTTCAATAAATAATCAGTCAACTTAATTAATCCTTCTCGTTTATACGTTGTAGATGATAATCGATCTCCGACTCGGATAAACTTCTAAACTTTGTATTGTCATGAGTGACGAGTGCAATTTCAATCTCAGTCGCTTTGAAATCAACAGATAAGACTGTCGAAAGAGTAGTAATGGCCAGCTTTGAAAAGAATTGTTACTATTAGTGACATTATGACGAAAATAAAAATTAAGTTCAATTGAAGCAAAAAATACCTCGATGGAATCATCAGTATTCAAAGCTGGATCTTTTTTTAATTTTTTCTCTAAATGATTCAGCGCTTCTTGTTGCTTAGCTCCAGCTGCGGTGGCTTTGAATCCGCAATAGAAGCCAGCAGGATCACTTTTGAAAAGTTGTGGACCTCGTTCATCGTCGTAGCCAATTAAAATCATTGCTAATACAAGAATCGAGGGTGAAATTAGGTTTGGGTTGATTATCAACGTGCATGAATTTCATTAATTCTTCAGACTTACATACACCCAGCGGTCTCATAGCAGCGTGTTGAGTGTAAACTTGGTTGATATTAGCAACGCGTTTTGCGAGCATATCAGTTGGAATTTCGTATCCATTCTTATAGCGAAATTCTGCAGCCTCTGAACGTGCGCGTGTCACTTGAGCTCTTGCATCAGCTATAAAGAAAAGTAAATAATAATGAGCTAAGAAATTCTACTCGTGGAGAAAAATTCCCAAACAAAATATTATCCTTTATTATAGATAGTACCAATCAATCCAGTCATAACACATCCAATATATGGTGTCAATTGAAATATATGTGTCATGGTCGCAGGATCAAGCAGCTTATCCTATTGTTATATGTGTGCGTGGCCAATCTTACAAATTATAGACACATACGACATACGAATCTATCTTGATTCAATTCGATATTGCAATCTCTCGCAATGTCACATCACATACCGGAATTTTTTTCTGAGTCGCAATGACTACACTGTCTTTACCGCGAACCCCGACAGACGTTATTCCCGAGTTGGATATCGCTTTAAATGCGTATTCTGTCATGATATACATACGCATCAATAGGTTGATAGAACCTTTCGATAAGCATATAAACTAATGTCTCCCTACCAACTTGATAAAGTCGCCCTTCTGGCGAAAAAATCGTAATGTGACGGTCATATCCAGTACTTAAACCTAAACCATTATGAAATAACTTTGTTATCCTTGTGTAGTGAGACCAATTGAGACCATATTATTAACACGTCTACTATTAAGTAAAAGTTTTTTCTCACCACGACTCATGATTTTAGAATATAGTCAAAAAAAGCTGTTGAAATGTATACAATCGTTTGCGTCATCAATCGTTTCCTTTTATAATTTGTAGATGTTGATATGATCATACGATCATACGATCATACGATCAAAAAAACTGATCTCATCTTATATTCTTATATTTAAGCAGGGCTTTTCCAAAAAAAAAAAACGTTTTTTTTCTTCCTTAGCTCTCCCTGTTGTTTCCGAAACTACAAACGTAAGAGCTTGCCTTTTTCGGAATAGTTTAATATTTGTGTCTTTAAATCCGAAATTAATTAAAAAAAATGGCCAGTCAAATAATTGTCGTTGGAGGTGGTTTATCTGGACTTTCGGCCGCTCATACCGTTCTAGAACATGGTGGTAATGTGCTCGTGCTTGACAAAAATTCTTTCTTTGGCGGTAACTCAACAAAGGCCACCTCTGGAATAAACGGTGCCTTGACAAGGACACAAATAGGTTGGTAGTTGGTACAATAAGACATGTGTATATAACGAGATGATCTAGTGTTAGCCATAAATATATATCTCATAAAACTTCGATATTTTCAATTATTATAATGAACGTGAATGATTAACGATTTTGTACTTTGAATCTGAACAGCTCAAGGCATTAAAGATTCGGTAGAAACCTTTGCAGCAGACACAACGAAATCTGCACGTAACCTTGCACGGCCTGACCTAATCAAAGTCTTGACGGGAAATTCGGCTTCAGCTGTTGAATGGCTTCAGGACAAATTCAAATTAGATTTATCGCTAGTTTCCCGTTTAGGAGGGCATTCACATCCACGTACTCATCGTGGGAAAGAAATGTTCCCGGGTATGACAATCACTTATGCCCTTATGGAGCTTTTGGAAGAATTGTCAAAAAAAGAACCAAATCGGGTTCGAATCGTTATGAAAGCTCGAGCCACTAGACTCATCAAAGAAAGCGATGCTGTTGTAGGTGTTGAATACGAAAAGGACGGTAAAAAATTCATAGAATATGGACCAGTTATTCTTGCAACAGGCGGATACGCAGCAGATTTCACAGAGAACTCATTACTCAAGAAATATCGTCCAGATATTTATGATTTGCCAACAACAAACGGCGATCATTGTACAGGCGATGGTCATAAAATGATTCTTGCAATTGGCGGCAAGGGAATCGACTTAGAGAAAGTTCAGGTTCACCCAACTGGTTTAGTCGATCCAAAAGAACCCGATGCCAAGATTAAATTCTTGGCTGCTGAAGCACTTCGTGGTGTTGGTGGGATTCTTTTGAATGCAGAAGGAAAACGATTCTGTGATGAATTGGGTCATCGTGATTATGTCACTGGGGAAATATGGAAAACTAAAACTCCTGTTCGTCTTGTTCTTAATAGCAAAGCATCAAAAGAAATCGAATGGCATTGCAAACATTATGTCGGTCGTGGATTGATGAGAAAGTTTAACAGTGGAGATGAACTTGCCAAGGAAATCGGTATTTCCCCAGCACAATTAAAAGCTACATTTGACGATTATAATGACATTGCTGAAGGTAGAAAGAAAGATCCTTATGGCAAGAAATTCTTCCATAATCCCCCATTTACATTAAAAGACACATTCAATGTTGCTATAATGAGTCCTGTGCTGCATTATACTATGGTAAATACTTTTATGATGTTTATTTTTAGTTGAATTTATTTTCAATTTCTTTTTGATTAAGAATGTATTGTGAATTAACAGGGTGGTGTCGAGATTAACGCTGACGCTGAAGTCAAAAGTGTCGAAAATAACGTTATCCCGGGACTTTACGCCACTGGTGAATTGGCTGGTGGTGTACACGGTGCGAATCGTCTAGGTGGCTCTTCTCTCTTGGGATGTGTAGTATACGGACGTGTTGCCGGAGATACTGCATCTCGCTATTTATTCCAGCATTTGTCTTCCATCGAAACCGCGAATCGTCGTCTTGATCAAATTTCACATCAACTTGGAACATATGATACTAGAATTTCTGTAGATCCAAGCTCTCAAAAAGTTAACGTTGAGATTTCTTGGGCTCAGAAAGGAGCTGCATCAACTGCTCCTGAACCAACTCGAGCTGCATCCACACCTGCACCCTCACCTGCACCACCAGTAAAGAAAGAAGAATCAAAGGAACTCAAAGCTTACACACTTGCTGACGTTTCCAAACATAATAAAGACAGTGATTGCTGGGTAGTTGTTAATGGACAAGTATTAGACGTTACCAAATTTTTGCCTGATCACCCTGGCGGCAAGAAAGCTATCCTTCTTTACGCCGGACGTGACGCGAGTGAGGAGTTCAATATGCTCCATAAAAGAGATGTATGTATATATTAATTATAATTACATATTTTTTACGATTTACTCGATATTTACTTGCACAAAATTGCATATTCAATTCAACGCAGGTGGTTGACAAATACGCTCCGGAGACTATAATTGGTAAATTGGTTGAGTAATAAGGGGATTGATTTATACCGATACTGAAAAATTTTGTTGAATCTGATGAATTTTGGGATTTGTATTTGGATTTAGCTAGTTGTGTAGAAATGATACTATTATGTACGATAGCATTGTAAATGTCCCATCTTTAGTTATATTATTAGATTATCGAAAAATTAACGATAAATTATCAATAAGATTATTATTCCTTTTTTGGTTAAATGGTTAAATGCAATAATCATCAATCAATCACGTATATAACCAATAATCACGTATATAACCAATCACGTATATAACCAATCACGTATAATTTTATAATTTTATGATCGTGTCAATCACTTAGTGTTTTTTGTTCAGACAAAACACCTTTATAGATCTCAACAACTTGAATCATTCAGATAAAATGGCAAACAATTTTGTTCCCCCACGATTAATCAGGCAAAACGCCTTTATAGATTTCAACAACACTAACAACTTTAATCGCTTTATAAACAACTTTATTAACAATAATATGCCGCTTTCATCAGTCAGGCAAAATGGCTTCATCGTCCTTCCTCCCCCTCAACAATCAAATCCAATATCATCAACACTACCACCACCACAATTAGCACCACTACAATCAGTATCACAACAGTCGCCAGCATCAACGCCACGACGTCAAATTTCTCGTGTTGCAACACGATTTTCGCAAAGACTCGCCGCTAGAAACAGACAACTCAATGAACGGGCATCCAAAAGAATCGCTCGCGAAAGGATCTCTCAATACTACAATCGGTAACTGATGCAAATTTTCATTTAGAATATTGTGATCCTTGTTTCTTAATTGTGCACTCAAAATTTTAACTAAGTCATTATTGCTGCTGATTACATAAAACAGATGCTAAAGCCTCTTATGTAATTAATAACTACTTGTACAAATCATTTAAAAATTATTCGGACGAAAATTTTGGTTGCTTTATTTTCCATCAACATCTTATTGTATCTGAAGAGTTTAGTAGAAGTTTACGCGTTTTTTACATCACTTTTTCCCGGAGCCTGTCAACGTCACTGAATTACTGGGTTTGGCATCATATTACCGGAATCCGACGGATATGCGCACATACTTATACAATGCTTCATTGCATACAAGAAATTTATGGGATACGTAAACATCACTCGAAATCAACATATAGAAAGTAATTATTGCTTAATCAACCCGTCAAACCCGCATTTTTTGAGAGAAGCAAAACTATACTATCCTACAAGGTAAGTGTCTTTTATCAGGTGATTTCAATTTATTATAAGGCTCACCCACCTGATATATTATACAATATTATTTATATTGCTTATCTAATCATCGTTGACCCCCCTCCCCCTAAGATATCACCCGATAAAAGACACTTCCCCAAGACCATTATACATTTTCTGATTAAGGATGCTTGCACTTGGTGATATGGGAAAAAAAGTAGAATTCATTTTTTGTGCGAACTTTTGAGCTTGAAGAGTATCTCACATTTTGATTAGAATTACTTATGCTACAATAGCATTACCAACAAGATCAAGATAGCGAATTGGAATGTACTATATTACTTTCTATTTTGTCACAATTACAACATCAGTGGCTGCGCTTCATGGTCAAATGCTGGCAAATGAATCCAAGCATTATCATCAGGCCTTACAGAGGGCACGGAGATCCATTGCTGAAACCCGACTATTTTGAAGAGAATTGTATAGAAGCTTTATTTCTAGAAAATCATTGGGGCATTATCCGCTCTGGGAACAAGACATATAATATTGAATGCGATCAAATTCTAGTGCATAGGTAGTGTTACCATAAGACAGTCTGTTTCCGGCATTTTTTATGTCCGGGACTCCGATGCCCGCGTCTACTAGTATTAATGCTGACACATCACTTGTTAACTTCGGCCAAAAGACTTTAGTGCGGCTTATGTTGAGATTGACTTGTCCGTCAAAAATCACGAATAGAAATTTGTACGATCCAAGCAAGTCTAGTGGATCATTTGATACTTTAACTAGCCATATCAGCCGATTGGTTTATAAGTTACTAGGTTGGACATAATAGATTGTTAAAATCAAACTGGTCATACTCTCGCGTTTTAGCGAGGCTGAAGATTCGAATTTTGAATATCTCAAAATGCAAGAAACCGATAGGATTCGAAGCCTTACGATCTTTCTTCCGTTGCAGCTAATTCAAGGAAAGAGGCTCTAATCTGCCACTTCAACTTCTATGATGGAGAAGGAGGAACAAGATGCACCAACACTGATTACATACAGATCTCGTACTACAATACTTCTACATGACAACACTACGTACATACAAGTCCATGTACATGTATACATCATGGTAATAATCGTTCACAAAAAAATTAAATTAATGCTAACATGATGCAAAAGTAAGAATTTAATACATATCTCGCGACTTCGAATACTTCGAATCCTTGGCAAATTGAATATAAAAATGGATGCCGCGCGTCTTTAAAAAAATCAACTCGAAAAAACATTTATTTATTACGTCTTCACAATCTGATATAACTCTTTACATTCTTTACTTCTTTCCGAACAAACTTTATACATTCACTCTCTTTAAACTATTACCGAACAGCAATATTAAAATTCTCTTTTCATCATATTATCATTATACAAGACACATATAAATAGTAACAATGAAGATCACTTTTGCTTCTGCTTTGCTCC